AATTTAACAGAGTCGGTGGGGGCAGATTTTACCATGGGCAGTGAATGGAGGAGGCATCATCAGCCAGTCAGCTTTGGCCTTTGAGCATTGAAACAAAATCAAAATTCCAGAGAGTGCATGTTTTCTTGGTGGGTCCCAAACTGAAGTTAGAGGTGAGAAGGAAGGAAAGAAAGAAAAGACTCCCCCACCTCGGATATAATCTTAGTATTCAGATTTAGACTCTCATACTAAGGATCAGTTCCCTTCCCCCATTGCCCCCTGACCAAGTTGAACTTAGCATATTCCCCTCCTGGTTTGATTCAGGACTACCCCCATCTTTGATAGTGGATTCTAGTTCCCCACAAGATAATTGGGAAAATTGGAAGAGACTAGTGACGGTATCAAGCAGGACAAAGACAACAAATTTGGGTTGTTGGATGAGGGAAACCACTAGGAAACTGTATGCATAATATGATTCAGACATTGCCAATTTGCCATAGCTCCATCCTGGTCTTAGTTTTATCAATCTACTGGTTCAGGAACCAGGAAAGTACTTTCATTCTTCATTTTTTAATTTCAACGATATAAGCTTCGGTCTTGTATGGGAGTAGTATCCAATGAAAAGGAGCTGGCACTTTGGGAAAAAAGACGACCACCTCCTATCTGACAGTCAGACTGCAAGTCAAATTTTTCTCAATTGCAAAATGATTTTGATTATTTAAAACGCTTGGCTTCAGTGGTGGTGGTACTAGTAAATATGGGGTGGGGGCAGAATTTTTTTAATTCAGGATTTGGGAATAGAAAAGCTGAAGAAAATGGTCCAAAAAGTCATGGCCGAAAGAAGATAGCGACTACAATGTCCATAACTGGCTGCTCTTTAGTATTGAAAATGTGGACCTGATCGAAAATAACAAGAATATGTCGTGAAAGCTGATGCAGCCGAAATACAATCAATTTTTAACTCTGCTTTGTTATGTTCATGCCTATCATATAAAATTGAACCATCTTCCTTTTCCCCCTAAAAAACCCTTCAAATATGAAAGCAATGCTCGTAGATGGTACTTAGAATTGTGGGAAACAGAAGGAATTTGATTAGGATTAAAAGGCTGTAGACTTGTGAGAAATTATTGAATAGGTGGAACCTAAGGGAAGCCGTGAGTGTCAAGAAACAATCGATAGCAAATTATGGATTTAAACATATCATGTTTCTTTCTTGCTTTCTCCTTTTTGATTTGGATTTTTCTATAAAGACCAAAGCCATGAATATTTGCAATCTTAATCCTAAGTAAACTATTTGGTTAGTCTTCAAAAGCAATTGGCGGGACCAACTAGGTCCAAGTTTGTTCAAAATAAATAAAATAAACAACACCTCCTTAATGATGTATACTTGGACATTGTTTAAGCGACCTTGAGCATGCCAAAAGCACGGGCAAAATTAGGAAAACTAAGGTTAATTTAGAGTAGACCTCATAATAGTAGATGGTAGACAGTCGGGCAAAACCTTAACAGTTTATGTTATGACCGAAACAGGGCCATCCCAAAGTCTGAAAAGGTGGTTAACAAGTATTGAAAAATCAGAACAAGTGACCCATAAGCCGATGGGGTATATTTATGGATGATTTTGGATATGGATTCATCTTTTTTCAAGTTGTAATGATCTTTTATGTTGAAATTTGAAGATAATAGTGCTAGACAAGACAGCCTGTTGGGCCATCTTATGCCAGGGTAGAAGCAGGTTAAGCAAGGACATGGCTAGAACATGTTTAGTGGAATCAAAAAAAATTAAAACTCCTTTATATTATTACCTAATATTTAGGATAAATTGTAAATTGATCTCATTGGGATTAAATATGTATTAGTTTAGGTTAAACTTTAAATTTATTTTCATTTACTAGTAATTAATACTTTGGTGAAGTATGACAATTTATGATAATAGCACATTAAACATTAGTTGTTCATTATTAATACAAGACAAAGGCACAATAATAGCACTCATCATACGTAATTATAATCTCTTCTCTTAAATGGTCTGGCGTTTCCATAGGTGTGGCGTACACTTAAGCTGGTTCATTTATAAGCAAAATTATGACATTTGCTGACTTTGAGGTAACTGGCTGAGAGCAAATTATGACCTTGTTTTAATACAGATAGGGAAGAATGTGAGGCTTCATGAAGGGATTGTCCCTCTAATTGGGACCCTCTAAACACGTATATTATAATCCCTGTTTACACCAATGCCAGGTGGAGCTAAACTTGGAGACATTATAGTTAATCTTTTGCATGATGAGAGGATGTTGCTTGTTTCTTGAACGCAACACCAGGGAAACACAATAATGATCATTTCATGGATAGGCATGCACTTAAGTCGTGAATAATCAACCAAAGAAATTGATCCATCCCGATCAGAACCCACCTTTCCTTTGTAGGCATGCAACGTTAAAAGCACTAAACAAAGCATTAAGTCAAAGGGTTTTTAGCAGATATGCGTTAGGGAGGAACAGGAGTTGTCTTCTTGGATTAACAAATGGCAAATACCATGTTCATACATATGGAAGAGAGGGAAATAAGGAAGTGGGTCATAATGTGAAATGAGCTTCTTTGGTAAAGAAAAATGGAAGGCATAAACAGAAAATGGTTTTGTTTAATGGCAGCGAAATGTTTCAAGTATTGATTTTGGAGTGATGATGGGTTTTAAGCTGTAGAAGCAAAAAACACCATGACTCGACATCATCATTGTTATCTTGATACGTATAATATATGACAAATAAAATTATGAAAACAAGCCGAATGCAGTAATGAGGAAACTTTTGAGGATGTAAATGTAATGTAATAGGATTAACATATTCTTTCATAATTAAGAAAAACAGGGTAGAAATTTGGGTTGGACGAGAAGCAACCATGCATGGAGCATAGATGAACTGTTATACGATTAAAGAGGAAGAAAGTATAATGGCAATGAGTAGGAAAGACTGAAGTGAATGAAAAGCAATATAATACAACATAAATATATATATATCAGTCATCAATTCTTCACAATGGAATAGAGTTTGGTTGGGACATTTATGGTTTTTCAAATTATGAAAACTAGACGTCTACGGAAAGGATGGAAATATTGAAGCATCGCTAATTAAACTAAGTTCAAGTGACTCAAAAGGAAAGAAAACTGACGTGCGTTGGGTAAGATTAACTTGGCTTGTACCTACCTGCCTATAAGGATCCAAGTGAAAGATATATATATATACATACATGTATTTGTAAATATATGTACCAGATGTTGAGGTATGGGTATGGCCAAGACCAAGAGTCTGACTGATCTTTAATCTTTTTGATTTTTATCCCTCTATAAAGAGAACCTTTCTCATTTCCACGTTTCTTAAACCATATGTTTACCCTGATGATGTGGGAAAACCCTGTTTAAACCCTTAACACCAGTCTGTTGGAGCAGTCTCTCTTCTATTCCGTACCGTTCCTTATACCTTTTTGTTTTAACAGACCAGGACCGCCAAAGTCCCAAGTCCCCAACTTCAGAGCCCAATTATTGTGGGACTCGAAAAGCAAAGCATCCTAGCTACTAGCTAGCCATAAGGTCTACTTCCGGCTAATGAGATATGGCCAAGGTAGGAGTGACAATTCATATGTGCAATTGAGGCTCCTGAGGAGAATTTGAATTTTTAAATGGGGACGCTTTTTTTCTTTTTTTCTTTTTTTTTTTGGGTGGGGGTTGGGGGTGGTAATGTGCTTCTGCTCGTAGTACAGTAAGGCAGTGGTGGTACCATCAGCTTTTCAGGCTTGGCAAGCATAAAGGTCTAATCATAGATATGGAATCCAACGGTTATGATGGGGGATTTAAGTCCATTTTTCCCTTGGTGTAGGGGCCCATTGGGCGGCTTCATGTCTCTTTTGTGCCCAAAAACAATCTGAAATTCATGTGCTCTGCTGTATTTGTATATCACCCACATGTTCTACTATCTTCCACCAATCAGCTACCTGTTACTCAAACCTAACCAATCCAATGTTCAAAACTTGGATTATATATATATATATGTCTCTATATCATATTACTATTTGTATTCAAACGTTTCCGGTCACTATATAGTTTGAATTCAAATTCTCACCTTTCATGATTCGGTATAGTTCCCTTGCTATTAGATAGAAACATCATTCACACTATAAATCTTTTTGTTTTTCTTTTTTGGGGTAATTTATAGTAATAACAAATGTTTAGTTAAAGAAGAATCATGTTATGCTTCTCGGGATTGAACATAACTTTTCTGGGAACTTGTGTGCTTGGGAAGCATCTTTGAGCCAGCCCTAACAATTCAAGGCATTTTAGTTGGCTTTACCTAAATCTAGTTTCAGACACTTTGATGGGATGAGAGTCAATCTTTTGGGCTACCGCTAAAATAAAACATAAAGCCGAAAAAGTTAGTAAAGCAATAGATAATGTAATGGGAACTAAAGTTTAAGGTCATCATTGCCTGGCTAATTAAACAAATCAGATCATATGCTTTAATGATTTGGCACATTGAGCTGCTCTTTTTGTCTCTGCCAAAAGCATATTTGAGACAATAACAGGACATGAGCCCAATTTAAAGCATATTTCTCAAACAAAACATGATAATCCAAAGATCAGCTTTTCAGTCCATAGCTGATGAAGCCTTAGACTAGAGACTCTTAGCGTTTTAATTTGGATTAAAATTCCGGTTAACATGAAAAGAACTTTACGGGCTCCATTCCTTTAACCTTTTTCTTTCGATACAAACCACTTTAATAATGTTATATGTAGATTGGAAGAATCCTTGATAAGCAAGGTTACCATCCAACGTTTTAATGCTCAACCACCGCTACTAAATTACTAGTAGTAATTATAATGAAGAATTTTTATTTTTTTTTGCAAGTAGTCCTATAGTTACGTGATTATTAATTGTAATCTAAAATATATTTAAAGGCATATCGCCTATTTCCCAGTATATTTTTTTAAGAAATGAGTAAAACAAGGAGAAGATCAAAATAGACATGGATTGTGCAGAACTTATGCGCTGGAACCCGAGCACATTGAATTCAAGGCCATGCCCCCAAGTGAGTCAAACCACAAACGGGGCAAAAGGAAAATAATGTTAAGGTTTCGCATTGCATGGCATTTTGTATTTTGAAATGGAAAAACTCTGTTTATCTGACTCTGCGTGCTTTGCTAACCATACATAAGTTCAGGTAAAAGAGAAAACAAAAGGCTAAAACAACGCCAGACTAACAATCTTTGACTTCAAATTTATCTATCCACGGGGACGGGGGTGTTAAACAAGGTGGAACCTACTTACATCTTTGAATTCAATCATCAAAATTGCCAATTGACTCTTCAACAGCACCACCTAACAATTTCCCTATAATGGACTAGAGCTTAGAAGCCGAAGAAGCCCATTATAGGAAAATTGTTAGGTGATGCTGTTGAAGAGTCAATTGGCAATTTTGATGATTGAATTCAAAGATGTAAGTAGGTTCCACCTTGTTTAATGGACTAGAGCTTAGAAGCCGAAGAAGCCCAGTTCACTGGCTCTCTCCTTCTCAAAGGTCTCAAAGTACTGATATATGATCGTAACAGCAAGCAATATTCCAGTCCCTGAACCAATTGCTCCCATGAAATCGGCTAACACTGTTAATGCACCAATGCACATCCCACCAAATGCAGCTGCAGTTGGTATGTAGCGGTTCAGTTCCTTCTGTAGATTTGAATCTCTATGCCCAGGCATCACCATTTGTTGTTCCTGCAAACATGGCAGAGGAAAAAACCAAGTCAAAAATACATCCGGTAAAACTTTGAGTTTAGACCCTTTGAAAACTGTCTCCATCTGACACATTAAAAATCAAACTAGGCATCAAGGAAACACAAATGAAAAGAAGAGCAAATGGAGCATCAACCACATATATGGCAGAACTTAAAGAATGCATGATCCCCAAAATTAGTACTTCATGCATGAAATCAAACTAACAAACAAGGTTTTTTGATAAAAAAACAGAAAATGCAACCCTTTTACAAATAAACAATATTGCAACGTCTAATGGAAAAGAACCAAAAAAAAAATCAGATGAATGAGAAACAAAGCTTATCATATGTCGTTACCTTGAGCTGCTTAGCCACATCTCTGGCAGAAGAACCAGAAACCTCAATCCAAGTTTTTGAAAACAAGGCACATGCTGAAAGCATGAACACCAGATAAAACAGAGCATGGAAGGGATTTGCAGCCATGTCAGCCAAGCTGCACGAAAAATCAGAAAAACCAGGCATCAGCACATATGAAGAGAAAATGGCCAAAAAATGAGAACCATGTTTGTGAACTGAACCATATTAAAAGATATGTAAAAGAAACAAGATCAATTTTAACCTTGCAGGTGCAGTAACGTAGTATGCTAGACCACCAACAGGAATAAACTGACCACCTGAATATTCAGATTCCTTCCACTTCCCCAACAGATTCACAAAGAAGTTACCACTGTACTTCCTGTACAGTAACTGCCCAAAAATAAACAGTGTTATAGGAGTGCAACATTAACAGTACTATGAAGCTCCCTAATACCAATCATATGGAGCAAAGAAAGCACCTGGGAGATGAAATAAAGATTTGAAACAAGGGCAGATTGCAGGATGATAGGCATGTTGGAGGTGTAGAAAAGCTTAATTGGATATGACCCTTGCTGTCCACGAGCATTCTTTGATCTTACAGGTAAAACAACACGGAAACCTTGGAAGTAGATGACAATAAGGAAGATCAACACTGTAGCAAGTAAATTGGTGACATTTGGAAGATTCTGCCTATAGAAAGCCTCGCGAAGTGCTCGAACTTTGTCAGACCTAGTTATCAGTAGGTGGAACATAGCAATAACAGCACCTTCAAATTCAGCCCCTCGACCACTGTTGATAGTTGTAGGACTAAAAGCTTTCCAGATAATGTTTTCGCTGCACAATCAAAATACTATTCAGAACAACCATGCACCAGAATGCATTCAAGTTAATTCAAAATGGAAAACAATGTGATAACATACCAGATATTGGTGGCTATGAAAAGGGAGATCCCAGAGCCCAAACCATAACCCTTCTGGAGAAGCTCATCCAGACAGATCACAATGATTCCAGCAAAGCAGAGTTGGATAATAATAAGAATAGCATTCCCAACACCAAGCTGACCAACACTGCCATACATACCAGACAGTACATATGCCACAGCCTCACCCACAGCAATCAGGATGCCCAACAACTTTTGAGCCCCATTTCTGCAAAGCACACATAAAAGCAGAAAAGATTATAATATGCAAATAGAAATCATAAAGGATAGACCAAAAATACAGTCTGATCAGTCAAAAACAACTAATGGAACACTAGAGCACAAAAAAGCACCAATAGCAGAAATATTGCTGCATGCTATATAAGAAAATATAGGAGATTATCTCCTCCAACTATAGAAAAAAAAGGAAAATCTTTTGTTTTGGCTATAGGACCAGTGAATAACCATTTTAGACAGCAAAAATAGATGATGATGTGAATAACACTTACAAGAGTGCCCGATCCTCACGAACACTGTTGTCCACCTCAATGATCTTTGAACCAGCCAGGAGTTGCATCACCAATCCAGATGTCACAATGGGGGTAATCCCAAGTTCCATAACAGTTCCACGGTTTGACGCAAGAATAACACGCATCCAATAGAATGGATCAGCTCCTGTCGTAGAATGTATGCCATAAAGTGGAAGCTGACTGCACACCAGAAAGATGAAGAGAGAGATGACGGTGTAGATGACCTTCTCTCTAAAGGGAACTTTCCTGTCAGCACTCTGAACCTCTGGCAGAAATGAAAGGAATGGTCTAACCAGATGAAGCACTCTGAACCCTCCTCCCATATTGACTATTCAGAACTGAATTACACCAACAATTCAGCAATGGTTGGTCAAGAGGTATGTAGCATTTAAGAGTAGAATAGGAAAAGAAAAAAGATAGGAATAAACAGATATTAATCAGGCCTGAGTAGCTACACCTATCATTGATAGTCACAATCAAGAAAAAAGGCTAATGCCCATGAATTTACTGCTAGCGTTGAAACATTTTCCTATGGTTCAGCATAACTAGAACACGAATACATAATAATTCTTCGCATAGTTCGTATCCAACTTGATATCAACCTATACATCATTCATCCAATTCCTACAATTAGAACAATGTTTGCTTCAAAACAAAGAAGCACGCAAAGTCCTGCTTTTCTTCATACCCTGCTGTATTTGCACAGAAACGCATGAGCTAAAAATAAAGTAAAATTAAAATTTTAAAATCAAACAATACGAAATAGTTGAGGCCTCATTACATTTTAACCAGTATGAATTCGACAGCAAAATTATTAATCCATCTTACCAAAGTCAAGAATAATAAATAAACTAAAATCCAAATTAACCATTAAGATTACACTTATGTTCAGCGTCAATTCAACAATTAAACATTACCTATAATATCACATAAAAACACCATAAAAATAAAAAGAAAAGCGATTTCAAATTATGAATCGGAAATTATTAGATTTTTTTAATTATCATTTCAAATCAGCTAATATTAAAAGAAAAATCGATATAAACACGAAGATCAACAAAAATACTAACAGATCTACAATTCCATAAGTAAATCTGGCAGATACGATTTTAACAAATAACATTCTAAAAAATTTCATACATTCAAATCCGGATCCCGAATTATATCTCCCGAATTGCAGATAGCAAATCATTTTCCAGAAAAATTTCTCAATAAACAAACAATAAACGACTTAAAAAAGATATAAAAGAAAACAACAAAGAAAAACTCAAAATGAAGAGAACCGGAGACATACGTTGAGGATTCAAAAGCAGATCTGAGCAGATCGAAAGTCAAATAAGGGTTGCAAATGCAAAGTTTCCCTAGAAAATATTTCTGTTTTTACAAAGAGAAAATTCCCCCGTGCTGGGTCGCAAATGAAAGAGACAAGGTGTTTTATAGCACAAAAAATGGTAAAATAAAATATAAACCAAAAAAAAAGAAGAAGCTGTAGTCATTTGCTTGAATTTTATTTTGTCGCGGCATTAGTTGAGAAGGGTTGCCACGACATCTTATCCAATAGGGGTTTACCACGTGTATCCCTTGGCGTATGATTTGTCACTGGACCGGCCTTTGGGCTTATCTGCATCTGAATCTCGGGTTTGCCTTTGTTTATATATATATATATAAGCGTAATATTTAGAAATTTTTTTTAAATTTTTTATTTTTTATTATATTTTATTCTAAATTAAATAAGTTTTTTTGAATGAAATAAGAATTTATAATTAAAAAATAATTTATTAAAAATATTATTTATTATTTTATATCAAACAAGATTAACATAATGCATTGATATATTATAATTAATTATTATATAACATACTAATTTGATATAATAACATAATTATATTTTTTTTATTTTTTATATTGATATTATATTAATATTATATGAATATAAAATAATAAATAATATTTTTATTAAAAATAATTAATAATTAATAATAAAAACTTATTTAATTAAAAATAAAAATATAAAAATTTAATTACACTAATAAAAAAATAAAGACTTATTATAAATTTTTTAAAAAAAATTTAAAAAAATTTAAAAATTTATTTAAGTATTATGTTATACATTATATACATTAGCCTCTTCTACTTTTTGGTGCTATATATAACGTTAAACAGGCAAAGAGTCAAATTATCCACTTAGAAGATCTTTTGATTAAGATTAGAACAATAAGATTAATGATAAGTAGGTACTTTAATGATCAATTGAAATTCGTTAATTAAATTTAACCGCTGGTTTATGAGAAATTAATTTATAAAAGGTCGCCATGGGCTTTGAGATCTTTCAACCCAAGCAAAAGAGAAGTGGTCTTATCTAGACGGTTTCTTGAAGAACGGACTTAACGAGTTCGATAATCAAATGACACTTTCTTTACTTCTCTTTCAATCATAAGGCAGAACATAATGCATAGGAAGCACACTCCCGCATCCCTAAACATCAATACAAGTTTCTATACATCCAGCCAAGATCTGTAAAATTTGTAGCATGCATTTAATGAAAGATAAGGATGAACTCTAGCTTGGTAATTTGGCAACTACAGTCACATTTTCACCCTCTCCCGAATCAGAATAATATCTTTACAAGTCAAAAATAATGGGAAAGGGTGATAAAACTGCCATAACTACCGCATACTAATCTAAATCTAAGCGAGAACTATATATCGTGTATCCTCCTCTACTCATCCAAGTATCGACCTTCCCGGACTTTTAATCAGGCAAGTTCAACCAAAGGCTTAAAAAGTAGCTTTGCTCGACAAGATCAAATTTGTCAGGAAAAAACAACTTTGCTCAGCTCAAGCTGGCAGCTGCAGTCTAGCATTGTTTCTCCAACTGCCAAGAAAAAAGGCCAATTTTTACACATACCAACAATAATATTGTCAATAATAATCATTTATAAAAAATATTATATTCATTACCTGATGAAGTAATAATAGAAGAAATCTGCATAGAGAGCTGTTTGGACAATACCAGAGAGGCAAGCTGAAAACCAACAAAATAGAGACAGAAGTCAGGATATCATCATGCAGAAATAAACACACCAAGTAGCATTGCTCTTCGGCTCTCACCTATCCATCGACTAAAATGCTGCTCCGTAAAATAGCGATAGATCCAGTTAAGAATGTAGAAAGCACGATATGCCCTGCAGATCCAAAATGTGCGCACATACATTACTCAGGTGAAAGCAAAATGGAGCATAAGCTTGTTCAAACTTCAATGCATATTAAACTCCAAAACATCTATGCCTACACATGATCAGTACGCATTGTCCAATATGATACAGTAATATTAGATGGTTCATTTCATGGAAACACATTTTGTACATCCAACTATAATACTTGTAAGTTAATATGTCATGCCATTCGAAAAGGGACACAGCAAGTAACAAAGACAGGGAAGGAGGGATGTAGAAAGGTTCAGCATCAAAGCTGAAGGAACACACATGCCAATATTGAAGGCAATGATTTCCTTATTTCTAAAAGTCATTTACAAAATGCAATGAAAACAACTAATAGAGCTTCATTGCACTTCCTATGCTTAATTTTTCTGAAAATCATACTAGGGTAGAAATGTACAATACACCAGGAAAAGCATCGTCTTAGACATGTAAATCAATTCTGAATTGCTGGTGAAGGCTTACAGTAGACAACAGTGCTGTTGATGGAAGAATTTATCAAAGTAGACCTTCTGGGAATCTCTCACATCCATTAACGAAACAACAGTAATCAGAAAGGAGACATGCATGTATTTTCTATTCTAGTGATTAAGACTAAAAAAAGAAAAGGGTAATAGCCATTGGTATGCCAGAAGGCCCTGAACACAATATTTGGGTGTCAATAAAATCAAAATAATATTTGAGCAATCAAAAACCACAGTTAACCACTTCATATTACTTTAAACCTCTAGTCTGGGTATTCAGTGTCTCAGCCATGGCATTGAATTAGTAAAAAAGACACCAATTATAAGTACCCAGACTTAAAGAAGGTGACTATTGTCGATTTATTGTCAGTGCTGGTGAGACAGTGGGCATTGGACAGCATGAAAGTAAATGATAAAACAATAGAATTTTCACACCAAGCATATTTTCAATATCACAAACAAAATTGATGCCAAGTAAACTTTGGAAATTTTTTGATTCACAAACCAAAGTTGTTTTCTACTAAAAGTCTATAATTGAAAACTACACATACCCTAAAAAGAAGACATATTGCCCAGTTAAATTATCCACATTTCCACTTCGTTGTAGCAAAACTAACTGGGGAAGAATAGCGAGAGCCTCCAAGTAGATTGAAAATGCCCAAAAGATCTGCAATAAATTCAAAAAATATATCACTAGGCAAATTTTATTGCAATTATGAATTCATGAGGAAACGGAACATTGCTTGACAAGATGAAATAACTAATTGAACCACCCCTCTCCCCACCCACCCCTCACCCCACAAAAAAAAAAAAAGAAAAGAAAAAAGTGTGTTGGGGGGGGGGGGGGGGGGAGTGGAAGTACCTAAATAAGTTCATGGGTACAGAAGAAGGAAGGTTTTTTTTTTCCTTGATAGGATGCTTAGGATCCAGTAAATATCTCAGAGAACATAAACCAAACTTAGCAGCTAGCACCTTGAGATAAACAAATTGAAAGAAAGAAATCAAATCAACATTTACAGCAAAAGATAAGAGGTCATATATTTGTATAGAACTAATACACTGCTTATTAAGTGCAATTATTAAAATTTGGGGAGAGAAAAATTATGAAACCACAAGATGAAGCAAAAGAAAAGCACCAAAATGTGTCCTGAAAGAGTAACTAGTATATTAGATAGCTGACAAAATGAATAATATAAAGGCCATAGATGGAAGATCCAAAGCATGCACCCAAAAGAAATTAATATCGATGGGTTCCTCTCCACAGTAAAGGCTGATAATTCTAGTAAGTTCTGGAGAACTTCCAATAAGCAAACAATTATGTTAACAGACAGCATTCATTTTCATTGAGAACAGAACAAGGTAGATAGTTGAGCTATACGAATAAATAACTTAACACACAGGAAACAATGAGGGGAAGAGCCAAGTTACTGTTTTCAGAATGAAGGCTATATGAAGTAGCATATATTTGAGCCAAAACCAACATCATTGATTAAAGCAAACATGCTATCTTATCATAGTAAATAGTAAATAAGGAGAAACAAAACCAACAGAAATCAGAAATAACAAATCTATCATGGTTTCATCAGCATTCTCAGCCTTTTGCTTTTGTTTTCAACTGGTGTATAATGATAAGTTACTTACATCAGCATTAATCTCAACCAAGAAATTGGAACAAGTTACGAAGCAATAATTAGGTAGCATCACTGATCGATACAAAACAGTACCAAATTCTCAATATTCAAATTCATATAATCAATATCTCTATAGCATTAAGAAATCAACGGAGTGTCACCTCTTGAAATGTGAACTTCTCATGGACCAAAAGCGCCAAGAGGAAGCTTGCCAAGATGAGAAAATAATGACGAAACGTGTCGATTTCCTTATCATAGGAACGCCTCACGACTCGGTGCATTCTCATACACCAAACAATGGCGAGAGAGCTAGCAATGAAGACCAGCTTCATGATGGTGTTGTATAAAGATATAAAATCCGTGAAAAGATCCAAGTAGCGAGTCAAAAATACCAGCGCATATAGCTCCTGAGTCTTCAGTGAAATACCTTTAAAAAAAAAAAGAAGCAAATTCAATTAGCAGAGTACAGAAAATACTAATGCTCTGCTTCTTTAAAATTTTTCAAAAGAATAGCATTAGTGAAATGAGGACATATCAAAATTAGTAAACCAAGACTCAAGAAACTCAGCTAGTAAGCAACCATACATTAAAAACAACAATAATGATACAGTTAATTAATCGTTTGTTAGCGAACAAAACGAGAGATTACAAAGAAAATGAAACTTAAACTTAAAAAAAGTGCTCCAATACTTCAAACTTTAACCAAAAAACACTAAATCAAGCACTACCTATCTAACTAACAACTTTCTATTATCATCGGTTTCTCGGGAACCAAACGGAAAATGAGAAGCGGAAAAGCTACCTGAGCAAGACTTGGTAGCGTAGATTTTGAGGAGAAGCACTAAGATGCTAATTAAATGAGTCATGTCACCAGCGAATCTGAAGATATTCATTTTGTAATTCGCCTTCTTTTGTCCTCAACAGATTTCAAGCAACAAGAACGGAGATCGAGAGAATTTAGGTTGAACCCCAAAAACTTCTGCGAGGAAACAGAAAATATGATAGAGAGGAAATGGATTGAAAGAAATAACAGCGACAGCGGGCGCTCGGCCTTCCGTTTTCGTAGAGTGCAAAAAAAGAGATGACGTGGCGCTAGGAAACTGCATCGTTTCTTTTGCTTCCACCACGAGGACGGACGTATAGTGGGTTTTGTTCGCCTGAAACGCGTTTCCTTTGTTCTCGAATTTTTCGGGGTTTTTGAATTTTGGGCGGTATTTAATTATATTTATTTATCTGTACAGGTGAAAATGGGGACGGTGGTGCCGTTTAATGGCGTTTTCTTTGCGTGGGGCTGTCGTTTTCGCTGATTTTTTATTTTCCTTTTTTTTAATCATTTTTCTGCATGATCGTGACCCAATCCTTTAAATCTAAGCATTGCTTTTGGCACCGAAGAGGAGGAGAAATGTATCCCCCAACTAACAAAACCACAGCCAAACAACCTGAACTAAACAAAATTGGAATATTCTAGGAAAACAACACAATTCTTTTTGATTTTTTTGAACAAATCACACAATTTATTGATTGAAATGAAATTCCCATTCTAACCTTGGCTGCCTTTATTTTCGAAACTTTCGATAAGAAAGTCAAAAAATTTTTTTTCATAATCTGAGGACCTTTTTGTTGTATTTATATTCTTATTTTCGATTTTAGAATGCATGGACATAAGTCTTTGACCATATATTAAATTGCATACATTTCTCAATTTTTCAAATTCTCTTTTTGATTTGTTTACCAACTATATAAAGATTGAATAAACTATAATTTTTTTAATTTATTATTGAATGATGAAATCCAAAATTTGGATAAGAATCAAGTGATTTCCGAGCCAGTTCAGGATAACATCGTACAATTGTATTTTCTAAAATAATTTATGAGTGGTTGGTTTTATTCTTATTGCATTTTTTTAGTAACATTTATTTTAAAATTAAACCGACAATATATAATATAATTTTGATTAAGAAATAATTTTTTGTTTTTTAGAAGTAATTTTTCTTATTATTAATGAAAAACTTTTTAAAGTTAAATTAATAAAAATAGACATAATTTTTTTAAAAAATATTAAATATGCTTTTATTATTTTATTATATTTTTATTTTAAATTAAATAAATCTTTATTATTAATTACCATTAGTCAAGATATCATTTATAATTTTTTATGTCACTTAATGTTAACAAATGATGTTTAACTAATTACAGTTAGTTAATATTAATTACAAAAAATTATTTAATTCAAAATAAAAATAAAACATAATATTTGAAAAAGTTCTTAAATTATTTGAAAAAATTTAAATAAGTTTTTATATTTTTATTACTTTAATTACACTTTTATATTTTTATTTTGAATCAAATAAGTATTTTATATTTTTATTTCGAGTTAAGTAAATTTTTATAATTAATTATTGATTTAGTTAAAATATTATTTATTATTTTATATCGTATGATGTTGCTGTGGTATGTTAATATATTATAATTAATGATGCTATAACATATTGATATTTCATAAATGATGATGAAATAATATATTGATTTTAAAGATTTATTTAAATATTATATTTAAAAATAAAAATAATTAATTGATTTTTATAAAAATATAAAAAAAAATTGAAATTTTTTGAATTATTTGAAAACTTTTTTTAAAATATTATACATAAAAAATCATATTATTTTAATGGGTACAGGTAATAGATAAATAAGTAATCAAATTTGATAGGAAAACAGAAACGATAAAACATAAAGTTTTAAAAGAAAAGAAAATTGAGAGTAAACCACATAGTAATTTCACCATTCCGAATTACTTGAAGTTTTTAATATTATTGGGAAATAATAGGTAACCAAAAAGGAAAAGAAAAAAAAAAAAGGGGAGTTGGAAAGAAGTGATGGAGACCCACGCAAAGAGTGGACTCCCACTCTTGAAAAGGAAGTTTCCTGAAGAAGATGAAGAAGGAGGAGGAGAAGAAGAAGCGAGGCAGCTAAACTTTAAATCCTCTCCTTAGCTGTCGCAGAAAGGTCGCTGCTACCAAAAGTCTTAAACAACAGCTGCAGCAACAACGTCAGCTGTTGTTGCTGCTGCATTTATATCACTCCGATTTCTAAACAACAACCCCTCAAAAAAAAAAAAAAGATTTGTGATTCGTTCTTCGGCCAGCTAACGGAGATGGGTTGTTCGGGATCTAAACGAACCAGGGGTGACGGTAAAAGAATAAAATATTCTATTTTTTCGTATTTAATTATGATCTTTTTTTTTTTGGAATGTCGTACTGGAGGTTTATTTATGTTAATGATTGTTCTTCGTTAATTACATTGCATTGGATTTTTTGGATGCGTTTCTGAAATTTGACTAATTTTGACCATGGTTTTGAGAATTTTATTATTCTAAGGTAGGGTTTTAATTTAATCATCTAGAAGATGATGCATTTGATTCTTGATTTATGACTTAACTAAGGACCTATAATTATATCTTTAACTTTTATTAATGAATAATCCGTATTCCTATAGCAAGATTGGAAGCTAAAATTTTGATTAGTTTTGGAGTTTATTGTGATTTTTATATGTTGCAGAAGCTGCGAAGAAAATCAGAAAGCCAAAACCTTGGAAGCATTCTGAACCGATTACGAGGACACAACTCATGCAGATGCGTGATGAATTTTGGGATACGGCTCCTCACTATGGTGGCCAGAAAGGTATTTTTCCCTTTACACGTATTTACCATCAAGATGTCTACAGTAATTGTTAGCAAAGTTTTGAGAACGCTGTTCTTCTGTGTAGATTAGTTGGATGATTTATGCTTCAAACTAAGTATCACAGAGATCAATTGTTCCACACAATATTTAGATTAGTTAAGATTGCGATGGGCTAATTCCCAGCTATTTCTGCAATGTTTTCTTGGATATAGTTACCTTGCACATTGGTAGGTGATTTAGGACCTAGAACGCCTTGCAGAAATGAGAGCTGGAGTGACAATTTGAGAGTGTGAATTCTGAAACTATGTGAGGATGGATTGCTTGAGACATCTTATTTTGAAAGTGATTTGTGGCTACTGTTAAGTTAGCTCCTTGCCTACAATTCGACATGTTTTTTGAATGTAATGTGATCATGAATCTGTTCAATTGAAATAGTTGATGGGACAATAAGTTGCAGCATTGGACCAAGAGACTCTGGGTACCTGGGACCTGGTTCACAGTTAACATGTTAAAGTTCTTTGAGCTAAAGATCTTGTTAGAAGAAATTTTGAGATGAAATGGATGTCTAAGATCACAAATTCTGACTGCTTTGAGCAAAAAGGGTACAGGTGTTGATCCTCGTTTGTTATGAATGATGTTATCTTGATGGCTTGCTTTCAAGGAGTGAGAACTTCACCCTTTTTGTGATAGGCTGCCCCCTTTTGCTCTCTAAAGTAAAAGGTCTGGGAGCCTGACTACCGAGAATTAAATTTCTTCTTGAATTCTCTGTAGAGTTCATCCTCAATGAAAAATTGAATGTAATTATCTTCCACTTCATTTGTGAGCACGATGTGCCAACATATAAAGGATTATGTTAATAGGTGTCAGTTATAAAGTCAAATGATCTTGAGTTTGATATTGATCTAATGGGACAGTCAATAATTATTAATGTTAAACTGCCTTTTACAATAAAAAGAATGTCAAACTGCCTTTTTTACAGTTTGTGTATGCCTTTTTGTATTGGAAGTTAAAATTTTTTCATCTGCTCATTTTAGCCCCTGTTTTTGCCTCTGAATATATGTATTTATTGATTTTATTGTGATATTTCCTATTGTACATCCTCTCATCTTCATTCTCTTTAAGCCAACATCCATTTTGGCTCTAGAAACAAGTTACTGAAGTTTATAGGTATCAACTAGAAGTCTGGGATTATCTGCAGTAAAGAAATCTGCAGATGTTTCAATATTGGAGATTCTTTTCTTACTAATCCACTTTTATGAGTTGTAGTTTATGTGAAGTGAATCTTATGTAATACAATTGGTGCCAGGCTATTCTTCATATTGATATCTAAATTATTTTACGTTGAATTCTCCCAAATGATAAATTGTATGCTGGTTGATGGTTAGTTTATCGATGCTAGGAGAGAAAAGATATGCTATGTTTCTTGCTGTACCATATCTACTGTTAGACGGAACCCAAGTGGAGAGCTGTAACAGTGGTGGGTATTTCAACATGAATTGTGATGTTCCATTTTGTACACAATTGGAGTTAGGTGCCCCCTACAAGGTTCTCAAATAAATGCAGAAAATCTAAATTTCAATCTTGATGCTCAGCTCCGACAGTTGCTTTCTTCTACTACCTTGATTGTACCCTTTCACTGAATATCTGACACAATTTCTTTTTTTTATGTGGTCATGATTGTTACTCCATATGTTTTGTTTCCCCTGTATCAAACAACTAATTTCTGAAGAATGAATGTTCTGTTACCAGAGATATGGGATGCACTTCGAGCTGCAGCAGAAGCTGAATTAATTCTTGCACAAGCAATTATTGATAGTGCTGGGGTGATTGTTCAGAATGATGATTTAACAATTTGCTATGATGAGAGAGGTGCCTAGTCTGTCTTTCTACTCTTCCATGCAAAGATTCTATTTCACACAACTTTAACTTGCTCGCAAAATTACAATTGCAGGTGCCAAGTATGAACTGCCCAAGTATGTCTTGAGTGATCCGATCAATTTGATTCACGAGAACTGACAACAGAGACTAAAGAATACAGTGATTCATTTTTAATGTAAATCATGTAAATTAAGCTCATAATCCTCTAATCTCTCCCCAACTAAATCCCCATTGGTGTACAATATGGTTCTTGTGGGCAAAGGTCTAGTTGTTTCAACTCTCAACATTGGGCTTCAAGTGAACTCTCCATCATGTTTAAAGCGGATGACTGAATATCCAACAAAAATTCAGTACTTTTATGGTGTATGGTTTGAAATGTTTATTCTGGAAAACTAAAGAATTTTTGTGGCTTGGTGTGTAGCTTGAGGAACCTTGTTTCTTATGGCACCTTTTTTAAGCTCATTCACGCTCTGTGCTTCACATAGCTTCCAATTCAAACAAGTAATTCCCTGTTTCGGAGAAGCAAGTCCCAATGACCTTGGTCCAAAAAGCCAGCCCTAACTTTGCTTGGCCCAAAGGTATTTATTCCACAAAAACTCTCAACCCAACCCATGGGCATCAGAGTTTTCATCTCATCTAATTCCTAGTGTAGACCGTAGACCCTAGTCTCAAAGCATGCCTAAGCAGCCACTGTTTGATTGCTTTTTGCGTTCCATCATAGATAGGCAGCAATAGACCGTGTCAATATGGGTCGGTCCCGGTTCAGCCCGGTCCTAGCTCTTGTGAGCTGAAAAATATGGTCAAGGCCGGGCCAGCTCATATTTTATATGAGTTACAAAATGTTCAGCTCAGCTCACCCCTTGCTAGTCCATGGGTCGGGTTGGGCTAGCCCATTTTTTTCAAAAAAAATTATTTCTACTACTCATCAATACAAGTATACAACTATACTATGATTTAGTTCATAAATTAAATAATAAAAACATATTACAAACAAATAAATTATATCAAAAATAAATAAGTAAATACATTACATCAAATATAAATAAAATTTCAAATTTTTAATATTTAGCCCACCCTTGTTAGCCTATGGGTTGGGTTGGGCCAGCCCATTTTTTTATTTTTTCAAAAAAAAATTAATTTTATAATTTTACTTGATAAATTTTTTATTAATAAAATTGTTCTATGATTTAATTCATAAATTGAATAATAAAAACATGTTACAAATAAATAAATTACACCAAATATAAAAAAATAAATAAATTACATAATAAAGTTTAAATCTTAACACAAACTACTATCTTATAAACATAAGTAATAACCAAATAATAAAAATTTAAGACTCATTTATATCCTCCTCAATCTTCATTCTCAAGTAAAACATTTAAATCTTATTTAGACAGCAATGATATCTCAAGGTCTGAATTATTATCAATTTATCATCTAACATTCATTATCATAAAGAAAAAGAGATAATAAGTTTTAATTTAAATTAAAATTTTAATTTGACAAGTGAAGATTAAAGATATTGAAATATATAAAATAAACAATACTATTGGTAACTAAATTATTGATTTTTCATAATTAAATATATAAAATTATTAATTAATTAAAATTATTTTTTGGCCCATGGGCTGCCCCTGCCCCAGCCCACATCAGCCCACTGATTTGGTGGGCTGGCCCATTTAAGCCCGGTTCAAATATGGGCCAAAAAATTTTAACCCAACCCACCCCATATTTAATAAAAAATGGACCGGCCCTATAGGCTCGGCCCATTTTGACAGGTCTACCCCCCACCACGATTTAATTTTTTTTGGACCCGTCGGGCTGGCCCGTACCAACCTGGGTTAGCCCTCAGACCTAAACGGGTCAGCCCTCGGGCCTAAACGGGCTAACCCGTTTAAACCCAATTTTAATATGAACTTAAATTTTTAAACTCGACCCGTCTCATATTTTAAAAAAAATAAACTGACCCGATGAGCCAAGCTCATTTTAACAGGTCTAGGCAGCAAGCAAGTAGGCAGGTCCTTTTAAGGTTGAAAAAGAGGCTGTAGGGTTTTTATAATATTGCATGCGTGCACGAGGGATGGAACCAAACTCGCGGCACTGCCTTCCCCAAATTTAACACTCTATACAATCTACAAACTAGCCAAAGGAGTGCAAAATCGCCGCAAAGCAGTCCATTGGCATGTGGAGCAACTGATCACCAAACAACTCATATAAATATATTTTGCCGCAAGGCAGTCCATAGGCATGTGGAGCAACTAATCACCAAACAACTCCTTACATATATATATAAGTTGTTTATCTCAAGATTAGAGATTGCATTGCCCCAAAAGAAAAAAGATTATTAGGAGGGAGGGTGGAACAGATAACCAGAACATTGTCTCTTGGGAACTAGACATGAAGAAACTTTTTCCAATGAATCAAAATGATGCCCTCCACTCCACCCTCTTTATGTAAAAAGGTCAATTATATAAAGTGAGGAATCTTCAACAAGGTCAGCTTCATCGGATGATATAAATCATGAGAAGTGAAAATGCTGGTCAAAGATTTGGGCACTGTTAACTATTAAATCTTTCATTATTAGGCAAACAAAAAGAAAAAGAAATATTATGTGGGGGAAAACCATCTTTAACTTTTTAGCTAATAACAATGTTCAATGTCAAGACAAACAGAACTTGTTATATTAATGCAAATATATATTGTTTAGCCTTGCTTTGGGGTAGCCCTAATCATTTGCATTGGGAGTAGCTCGCAACCCAATTTTCATATCGTCTCAAACTTCTTTCTTCCACTATGATATTCAATTATCATTAATCATATAAATTTATTTATTTTTTATATAACTTGTATAAAACTTGAGGATTATGCACTGAGTAATTAGTCCCACTAATCACCAAACAAATGGTGCTTTAGTGATATCTCCCTTTGCATGTTTACTAATGGCTTCAACACTGTTCCCTTTTCCCCTCTTATCAGTTAGCTTAGGTAGTTCAAATGATACGATTTTGTATCTGATTTGGTTCTAAGAACAACAAACAAACATTAACTCGAGTGGTTTTATATCTTTTCCACAAAATAAATGCCTCCCAGCTGCTACATGTACGTTCAAAACTAGACAAAATCCTTTCTTTATATGCTACAATGTCTTGAACCAACTTTTTTGCTGCAAATTTATTTATTTCGAGCGTCTACTTTCATAATGAGTCCTTTATGTTTTCAAAACTTATTTGATCACCATGGATTGGATTGAAAAAGAGAGAGCCATTCCAAATAGAAAAAGGGTCTGAAATTAATTGTATAATAATGTCATAAATGTATACCAAATTTGAAATTCTCAATTCATTTATATTCATACAATTAAGATTATAGATCGAAAAAATTCATCAGACAAATTACTTTAAACAACAAAATATTGTTAAAATTATAACATATTTATATTAATTTATGAGCGATCAGATTGAACTCTCGAAAAAATTAAATCATTTAGGTATATACATGCAAAAATCGTGATATTTTTAAAATCTTTATGTCATACCACTATACATCCCAAAGAACCAATTTACCATATGAAAATCATGCATCTATCCTCCTTTTAACTCTGCATTATTATTATTATTATTATTATTGTGTAAATGCTAAGGAGAATGTATAGATTAAAGGTTCTTGCGTGCCCTACAAAAAGCATACTATCCATCGGCATGGTTGGAATAAAAGACAGCAGCTACTCATAAAAGAAAAGGAATAAAAAGGCTAAGTGGCAGTGGCCAACCCCTCAAGGGTCTCTCTACTCTCTACACGATTAAAGAAAAAGGTACTTTAGGGATAGTTCATTGTTATAATTGGCACCAAAAAAGGTTAAATGTGGATGGTGTTTAATGTTGTCACATGCATTATGGTTCTGAGCTCTATAACCTATGTAGATGAACAAGTTGGTCCCAAGAAAAATTAGCTGATGGACAAATAATTTTAACCTAATTTTGAGTCCATATAAATGAATGAAAAGCAAACAAATACTAATTAATAGGTAATCTCAACTCTCAAAACGCCCCGTTTTTCTTGTGATTGTAACACCTTGTAAGTATCTAAATATTTTCTCCTCGAGAGTCTGTATATTTACTTGAAACACAAGTACACAAGGAAAGAGGAACAGATCAAAGGGGAAAGCAACCTTTTTTCCCAGGCTCAGAAAATTTAATGCATCTGAAATTCTGAACACTTTTAAGTAATTCTGCGAGGGTACTATTTTATCCTATAGAGTGGAGGAATCCAGAAGCCAACGATGGCAAACCTTTCTGAGCTTGAGACTGATAGCACACATGTATATTCTTTCCCAATGGTGCACTAGGCAACAAAATTTGTGTGGTCCATTCTTGACTTAGTTTTTATTTTCCGTTCGAGAGAATCCAAGAAAACACCCACATGGAATGGGATTGACTTGCCCACCATTTGCTGGGATTTGTTTACTACTATATCCGTTGCCACCCATTCCCTTTTTTATGCTTCTTTGTTGTTGGGCACATGCGGCATGACCACGAACAAGAAGGATATGGGCATGGCAGAGAATAAATGCATTCAGCATTGTGGTTTTTACCCTATTGTTTTAGACAGTCTGGCCATGGCTGGGCTCCTGGTGGCCTGAGTTCTGGTCTCCAGGCTCTTGCATGACTCGGAAGGGTATATTATGCCCCAATTTATCTAACCAAAAAACAGAAAGTTATGATCTAATTCGTTGCCATTTGCTTCATTGGCGAAACAAATTAATAAATGTGAAAACGGAAGAGTAAATCCCAGTCATGGTAGGATGGGGCCTTGGATGCCGCAAGTTCATTGTAAGAGTTGTGGGCAGAGATGGGGCCTGTTTGGCACAGTGTTGGGTTTTTTTGGCGGCATTCCCAACATTTTCGTATGGAATGTCCTGTTGTGCATGAATTCCCCTGTGGCTCCAAAGGCCAAACACAAACTGCTCTGTTTCCATGTCACACTCTCTCTCTCTCTCTGTCCCCCGTCAATAAAATTGGTTTGGTAATCCAATAGACAATCCACCTAAAACTTTCATGACTTTGCTTTTGCTGATGCACCCCCTACCAATCCAAGTTAATTCACATTGTCAATACTCCAAAAATTTCTCTTGTTGAGATTTGTTTTCGGTTGTTTTTATATCTGGTTCAAGCTAAACACTGGACCGTCTTTGACCAGGAAATAGAAGTACTGCTAATGTGTCTCGCGTCAGTAGCTTAAGAGGAATAAATTTAATACAAAATCTCACTTTTGGTTTCACCACAACGGGAATGAGGGGCCTGGCCAGTGCCCCGGAGACCCCGTGGCCCTCTTTTTCTTTTTATTTACTACATTTCTCTTCAAAATAAGAGACAAAAAAAAAAGTACAGTAGCTTACTAAATGTAGA